CGGCACATGGAATCCTGGAGTGGTTCGGGTTGGAAAGGCCCTTCTCGTTCACCCCATGCCATTCCACTAGGCCAGGTTGCTCCAAGCCCCGTCCACCCTTGTGTCCTGAACTTGACTCGTGTTTCAGGGGCTCCGATGGATTTTACAGGATATCTGGAAGTTCCCGGGCTTCCCAAGATCCGTTTGGCTCATTTTCTAGGGTTCTAGAAGTTGATAGCCATCTTCTTGTTTTCATCTCTATTTAAATAATCACTTGCACGAATTCTTAGTTTCTCTAAATTTTCACGACATCTTACATGAAAAACTTCTGAAAAAAAGAAATTAAAGCACAAAGAGCCTGGAGAACACGCTTTGGGAGTTGGGAGGCCGGGCCCCGCATGGACAGGGAGGGATGTGGGCACATGGCGTCCCGTGCGGGCAGCGGCTCCAGCGCTCGGCAGGTGGGTCACAGCTCGGCCTCAAAGCAATCCTTGGAAAAAAAAACCCCATCGGAGTGTGGTGGCAGCAGGTGACGTGGGAACGAGGGAATAAATAACAGCTTAAGTGCAATTTCAGCAAGCTTTTCACAGAGCACGGTGCTGCATGAGAGCATCTTAATGCTTCCGCATTTATGTTACAAAGTGGTTCTGATTCTCCACTGGTTTATGCTGTTAAGGAAAGAAATCATTTTAGTATGTTATTCGTTTTGGAAAGTGGGTGTTGTAAATATTCGAAAGCACCTTGTGAGAAGACAAATTTAGGAGCGATGTTAGAAATACTCTTTGCTTGTGGATCTCGTGCTCGGTAACGTTAGGAGTGTTTTCTGTGTGAGGGATGCAATGGTTTGCCCGGAGTCCCAGTTCACCAAACGCGTGTCCTCTGGAAGCCTTAGCGAGGTGCGGGATTGCCCCACGAGGTACACCTGGGGCACCACAGGAGGAGGGCTTTGGGCAGCCCCTCTTCCGATTTTCACAGCTTGTTTTCAAGAGCAGTGTGAAAAACAACTGTTTTCGTGGTCTGTTGTGGTAGTGAAACAGAGAAAGTCGGGGCTGCTGTTGTAGCAGTGTGGTAAACAAAGTCAAGTTTGAAAATGTCTATTTTTGTGCGTGGCTGTTTTTGCAGTTCTGGCATCATAAAGGTGCTCGATGCCAGGGTTTGTTTCCTGTGCGAATGTATTTTAAGCTATTCCACTGCTCCATAAGGCTGCGAGTGATTTGCCTGCTGAATTAGCAGTTCAAAGCTTGGCGATGCTGAGAAATAACTCGTATTTTGGGTTAGGCTTCAGCAGGAGCCGGGTTTTTCTGAGTGCAGGGCGTTGAACTCGAAATTCAGAAGCCGTGGCTGTTCCATTCCAGTTCTGCAGCATGCCTGCTCCTCTCCCTGCTTCTCCTGCTCCCAGGGAATGCCCGTCCCCGCTGGAGAGCCCTGCTCCCGGTGCAGCCCGCTGGGTTTAACCCCTTGGAGTCGGGAATGCTTGGGGAGCTCCGTGTGCCATGCAAACTTCATGTTAAACACGGCTTGGAAGGTGAGGGAGGCATTGTTCATCTGGGTGTGTTGGCTTGGATATCATTACAACTGCAACTTCTGTGGCCCCACCCAAATTTGACATTGCTTGCTAGGCAGGAACTCGATTCTTTAAAAAAGAATTAAAAAATCAGCTTTGAATTTAAAAGCTGGTTTGTTAATTTTGGAGCCAGTGCTTTGGCAAGAAAACGGTGTAAGAAATGTGTTTGTCCTCATCTTTTAAAGAAGAGTAAACAAGGCCTTTCACATGAGTGCAAAAGAAAACTGTGTTAGCTCTTTGAGAGGGCTTGGTAGAGAAGAGAATGCCCACGGGAGGTTTTTATTTGCAATAAAAACCCTTTTAGGAGGCCTAGGCAGGGAGGAAGAAGGCTGGGCAGCTCGGTGGCACTGTGGATCCTCAGCTATTTTGAGGAGCACACCAGAAGGAGAATCTTTGTCAGGGAATGTTGGGCTGGGAGGATCCATGTGGGTGAGGAGCCCGGTTAGTCACTGACCAGCACCTGCAGGTGGCACCTCTCCAGGACAGGTGGTGGCACTGCTGCCCACAAGAGTTTCCAAGAGCAGAATCACAGGGTCATTCACGTTGGAAAGCACCTCCAAGACCGTGGGCTCCAGCTGTTGGAGCAGCACAGGATGACTGTCCTGGGGAGCACAGGATGACTGCTCCTAGGGCCAGTGAGGTGATGCTCACTTTGTTTGGCCGTTCTTCACATGAAACCCACTTGTTTTACCTGAAAAGCACCTTTCAGTGGAAAAAAAACAGTAATAAAATCCTGCTTACCTTGCTCTTTGTTTGAAAGTTGACCCTGTTGTTTCATTAGGGATTACCCAAGTTCACAGTCAAACCCAGTTTGAAATCCTGGGTAAAACAGGGACCGAGAAGAGTGAGGTGGGAGTGGGGCTGCTCAGTTAACGCAGCAATAAAACTTCTCTTGCCGCTTGTTGGCCCGGGGCTGGTATCTGCCCCCAGCACTGCACATTCCGTTGATGTGTGTGGCCTGATGTTGCAGGGATAAGGAGGATTGGCAGGAGGCCTGACCAGCAGCAGCAGCAGCAGCAGGGCGAGGGCAAGCCCATCGACAGGAGACCCGAGCGACGGCCTCCCCGCGAGCGCCGCTTCGAGAAACCCGCCGAGGACAAGGGCGACGGAGGAGAGTTCTCCGTGGATAAGTAAGAGTTTGTCTTGCTCATTAACAGCTTTGCTACCTCTGACAGACAGGCTGTCCTGCCTTCTGCTGCTCAGGTAAAAAAGCTGATTGAATCAAGATTGAATTCCTGTCATGCAAGCGAGAACACTTCCCTTCGCCATGGTTTTGTTTGCAAACTTAAGTTATAGGCTGGGAGTGATGTGTGTGAACAGGGTCATAGGTGTAACTGAATTATGGTTTAAATCAAGATATTCACCATATTTCTCTACATCTACAGCAGATAGCTCAGGAAGGGAACCCACACATAGCTGTTTCCTGCAGGATGAGATTTGTTTGCTGTTACAGCTGTGGCTTTAATTTGCACAGCTGACTTAAAGGCAGCAGAAGTTTGTCCATGTAGGTGTTTGCACCCTGGCTGCAATGGCTTCAGACCTGGAAGTGGTGAAGCCATCTTAGATCTATGTGAAATTTAAACTGTCTTGAGTATTGTGAGGCAGCCAGAATTTGAGTAATGTTCAAATATTAATGTTTGAGTTGCCAAAGTTAAAATCCTTTTAAAAGTAAGTTGGATAAAAGTGAGTTTAGTTGAAGTTTTAACATCAGTTAATTATGTAACAGAATACAAAGATTAAATTTTGGAATTAATGCCAGAAGACACACACAACAATCCTGAGTATTTGTTTCCAGATTCTAAAATCATGGAACTGCAGAATGGTTTGGGTTGGAAGGGACCTTAAAGGGACACCATGGGCAGGGACACCTTCCACTATCCCAGGTTACTCCAAGCCCTTCCAACCTGGCCTGGGACACTTCCAGGGATGGGGGAGAGACTTCTCTGAAATTAGAGCCTAAACCCAGCTACAAACTAATTGTCAATGGAAAAACAAGTGAAGTTCTCAGGCATAAAAAGGACCATGAAGCACGCTGTACATTTTTGGAGGCCGATCACTTGACCCAGCTTCCAGACAGTACTAATCAAAGCAAAACCAAGTAAATAAAATCCTCAGAGAGGACAAGAGCATGAGGTGCTGTGTGTTTTTGGGGTGGATCCTGACCCGTGTGTGTTCCGTGCAGACCCATCCTGGACCGGCCCATGCGTGGCCGTGGCGGCCTGGGCCGGGGCCGTGGCCGTGGGCGCGGCATGGGCCGAGGCGACGGCTTTGACTCTCGTGGCAAGCGGGAATTTGACAGACACAGCGGCAGCGATAGATCGTGAGTCTTTGCCTTTTTCCTGTCCCTCGTGGCTCTCCTTTACCTCCCTGCCCCCCCCGTTTAAAATTGATCTTTTGAATTTCTGTGTCTGGACACTATAATGTTAACTCAGTTTTGTTAGTTCTGTTTCACATTCACATTTCAGCGGCCTAAAGCACGAGGACAAGCGCGGTGGCAGCGGATCACACAACTGGGGAACCGTCAAAGACGAGCTAACGTTAGTATCCTGTCACTGCTCAGAAAACCATTAGCACTGTGTTAATCAGCCCTAATTATGGCTTGCAGAACACCCAGATTAAGCTGCATTTTTGCCTTTGATCTCCATGGTTTTTGCCATGCTTCTGCAGAGTTTAAAACCCCAGCGATTTCTTGTAGCATAAGAATAGCTTCACTGTTCAACCAGAGTTTTGGGGAAGTTTGGGAGGTCTTGTGCTGGTTTGGTAACAATTCTTGGTTAAAATGAAATTGTTCTACTTTTAGTACATTTTGATCAGAATAAGCACTCATTTTGCAATACAAAAATTCAGCTGCCCCATTGAGATGTATTTTTAATGCCCAAATCCATTTTGTGTTGGAAGGGACAGTGGGAGCCTTTCAGGAGGGGTAGTAGGAAGCATTGGGGAAAACCATTAGTTAAGTGAAAAGCATAGGGTTTAAAAGGCAGAGAGAGCACCAATCCTTACTGAAACAGTAAATCCACAGTAGATCTTGATTGTTAATCTTACATGGCTTTAAAGAGGGATGAAGTTGTAAAAAGGCCCAACTGCCACCGTTATGTAATTGCAGTGAATTGGATCAGTCAGCTGTAACTGAGGAAACGCCGGAGGGAGAGGAGCATCCGCCTGCTGATTCTGAAAACAAGTGAGTACCCCCCTCTCCAGGCTCCTGGGTTACCTCCCAGGTGCTGCTCCATCCCCTTGAACCTCTGCTATTTATTCCACATCCCTTTGGCCAAACTCACATTATCAGTAGATCATCCACAGTGCTGCTGAATGAGTCTCCCTAAAAAACCTTGTGTCTGGAAATTGTTGTCTTTTAACCATTCCTTGGAGTCCTGCAGGCTCTTTCACATTTATTTATTTATTAATAACAATTTCTTATACGCTCTGGGTCTTGAGATTGCAGCTCCAGATTCCAAATCCAAAAGTGTCTGTGCTCAGACTAGGTAGCAGCACCAAGCAAATGGGACAGAAATGCCAGTGGAAGGCAACTTTTTAAACCTAATTTTCCAGAACAGCCTTGGAGACTGTGTGACTGAGCTGTAGGAGAAAAGTTGTATCTTTGATTGTCCAGGCATTTTCAAAGTTACCTGGTTCTCTTCCCATCTCACTTGGACACTGTTACAGGAGGAAGCAGGGACTGGGTGAATGAAAGAGTAACCAGAGAAGCAGAAGGAGCCTTACTGACACTGAGTTGATGTAAAAATACAATACCAAATTTTATGGTAGCCTAGTGTGACTAATGTTGTATTTTAATGAGGAGTGGGCTTTGTAGAGGACTCAAAAACTGGCAAACAGAATTTTGAGGTACTTGTTCCTAATGATTCCTAAGGTGTTTGCCATGGCTTGGTTGCCTTGCTGAAAAGTTTCTCTCTACAGAAAAGCATCTCCACATGGATGACTTGAATTGATTTTATGTGGATCTTTGTTCTCAGAGTTTCAGCAGAACTGTAGGATGTTTTACTGCAGTAAAACAAACTTTGGCTCGAACAAAACAAATTCTGATTACATCCTGTGTCAAAAATCATTCTCCCCTACACAGTGAGAAGAAGTTGAAATACAGTTATTTTGACATAAAACCTTTGCATTGTTGTTCAAAATTAATGGCTGCCAAATGAAAACCTTTGAAATTGAGGCTTGCATGATTTTTTTGCTGCACATACACAGGATTGGTTTCCTATAAATCAGAAATTCAGTTGCATAAACACACTGAACAATGACCAGAGGCTTCCAGTAGCTGGAATATGATCTGTTATTGAGCACAGTGGTTGTGTGTTTTACTTGAAAATAGCCTTTGGCACAAGGGAGATGTGCTGTATCTCACAATGTGTGTGAAGTTACTTTTCCAAATTAGCTGGAAGTAAAACTTGTTTGAATATTTGTCTTTGATTCAACAAAGGAAGCAAATTATCCAAAGCTGCTTAAATTCTGGTTTTTAAAATACTAAAAAGCTTGAAAGCTGTGGGAAGAATGAGTTCTCACTGCCTTGACTTGAATGTTTATCAAAGATGGATTTCAAAAAGGGGGGAAGAAGCTCCAAGCAAGTCATACCAGAAGCTGGGCTTTCAGATTTGGGAATAAAATTGACAATAATGTGGATATGTGATGGCATGGGTCAGTTTTAATTTTAACATTTTGCTGTGCTCAGAGGTGGCTGGGTGGAATTTTTTTTGGCACTCCCTCTGAAGGAGATGAATTTTGCTGTGGTGGAAGTGGTGTTCATATTTTCACCCCTTAACTGCTAAATCCTTGGCAAAATTCAATTTATAATCCGGTACCAGCCAGCAAATGGGTTTGGAATTGTATGCAGAGTGTAAATGCTCAGTTGTGACCATGATCTGCATGAATTGACCACAGGGAGAATGAGGTTGAAGAGGTGAAGGAGGAAGGCCCCAAGGAGATGACCCTGGATGAGTGGAAAGCCATTCAAAGCAAGGATCGTGCAAAAGTCGAGTTCAACATCCGCAAACCCAACGAGGGAGCTGATGGGCAGTGGAAAAAAGGATTTGTGCTCCACAAGTCAAAGAGCGAGGAGGTAAAGTGCCTTCCCACACTCTGAGCCTCCACCTTGTGAAGGTGTTGCTGTTGATGAGCATTTTTTAGAGTGGAAGCTCCATTCTGGGTGATGCTGACATGTTGTTGGAAGTTTAGAAAGTGGGAGCAGCATTTTAATTTGAACTTTTTCTTGTTCATATGAGCAACATTCTTTAGCAGCACTGACCTGCTGCAGTAGCACAGGTGGCCATTGTGGCTGTGGTTGGCTTCAGGAGCTGAGCTGTGCCCTTAGCTTTGTAGGCATTGCCTCGTGGTGGGAGTTTCAGGGGAATGTTGTCAAGGCTGCTTCCTAAAAAAGGCAGCTGGTGTTGTTTAGCATCTGCTCTGCAGTACACAGGTCCATGGTGTCAGCTTGAAGGAAGACTGGTCATGCCTCAGAGACCTTAAACCAACTGTGATCTGAAATTGGGGCTGTGGGTGTCTCCTCCTTAGTGCTGTGACACAGACAAGCACTTGGAATGATTGATGTGACACTCAGCTGAGCTGCTGTAGAATTGCTTTCAATTTGTAGTTTCTCATTTCAGGCATTGCATAATGTTCATTATTCTGTTCCAAGAGTGGCAAGGGGAGATGCACCAGGGAGGGAAGTGCTGAGAGCTCTTGTTTTGTACTGCAGGGCTGTGCTAATCTTTGGTTCTAATCTTTGTTTTTAGCACTCTGTAATATGTTAAGTAGCTCACTTAAGAGATTGGTGGCAGCAACTTTGTATACTGATGGTGCTGAGTCCTTTGAAGTGGCTGGATAGTGTGTAATTCTCTGTTTGCTCTCTAAAATGTATTCCTGCTTTTTCACACCTTGCCAGTTTTTATCCCGGGAGCTGGGATGTGCTACAGGGTGGGGGCACTGCTCAGAGTTCAGTGAAAATTCCATTTCTGCTCCCAGTGAGGGTGACTTGGTGGCACACCAGGCTGTTCCCTCCTGTGTGGGACAGTCCTTGGGGTGATTGCATGGCTGTGTCTGCTCTGAAGTGTTCACTAAATGCTGCTTCCTCTGGCTTGGCTAGAAAAGGGAATTTGAGTTACAGTTCATGGTGCTGTGTGCTGAAAGAATGTGTTAAACAGAAGTGTTTATGTACTTTACCAAGATTCACTAAATCTGGAGTTCTTCAAATTCCCTCAGTCTCTCTGAATCAGATTTATTTGACATTTACTCATTTGAGAGCACTTTTTTAAATATATGAGCCTATTTGATAGTAAAGGTGATGCTACTTGTGAGAAATTTAGAAGGCTAGAAAAATCCAGATTGCATTTTCCATTTGAAAACTGAATCAGTTAACTCAAAAAACCAAAAAACAACAACCAAGCAAAAACAATAACAAAAAATCTGAAGAAAAACTGTGAATAATCAAATTACTGCCATGAAGACCTGACATAATTAGTAGATTGTTCTATTTAAGAGGTGAACTTCTCAAATAAACAAGTTGGATATTTTTAGCACCATCACATAAGAAGGTAACAGCCTCTTGCTACGTAAGCATGAAAGTGAGGTATTAACAAATGTGCCTTCAAACTGAGCTGCCTTTAGGCTGCTTTATTGTCCAGCCAGCAGATGTGTGTCCCCATCTCCCTTCCTCATTGTTCCCTGATCCCATGGGAAGCAGTGTGGGGATTTGCTCTCAGGATTACAGGAGAATAGCTCTATAATACAGGCCTTAGGAAAGCTTCCACTGCAGCTCCTTTGTGAGCAGCTTTAGAAGGCAACATGTTTTAAAAAACCACCAATCACCTCGTGTTTCCTCTCTTTGTCCTCTTGCATGTACTTAGGAGTCAAGAAATTCAGGTTTCTCTGATTTTTATTGGTAAGAAGGAGATGATGTGTGGAAGTGATTAAATTTTGGTTTTAGCCCCAAATCTATACTCTGATGGCTGAAAACCCTGTGTGCCCCAATGATCTGTCAGAAATCTGAGGTGTTGTGATGAGCACCTGCATTCCTGGAGCTTGGAAACTCCTTGGAGATGCCCCAGGAGCCTGGAAAAGGGAGAATGAGGCTCTGCTGCTGCTCATGCTTGGGAAGGAGCTGTTCTGCTTTTCCTCCTGGCTGAGGTTTTCCTGTGTTCCCCTTTACTCTGCAGGTGCTGACAGAATGGACTCAGTTCTGCCTCAGGTTTTTGCTGCTTTAATGTGACATCCAGCAGCCCTGCTCCAAGGAGCCTCTTCCCAGGACAAGGGTTATCCCACAGCACAGAGCTCCTCTTTTTCTCTGCAGCTGCTTTAGTGCCTTGAGTCTTCAGTTCCTACCAAAAAAAAACCAGGAATGAGTTCTATTGTGCGCAGATCCTAAAATTCATCCCAAAAATGGAATCCAGGGCTCCTGGAAAAGCTGATACCCAGTAGAACACTGTCCCTGCTGTGCCTCTTCAAACCTCCTCACTAATCCAATCCTTCCTTAGAGGAGCTTGCACTGGGAGATGGGGAAATGTATTTTGGAAAAGAATGATTCATCTCCTCAGAGTTGGGAGCAATGACTCCTGAGTGAGGACTCTGCAGGAGGATTTCCATGAGCAGTGATTCAAACATCCCAGCTCTTGCATCCCTGTGCCTGACTTGTGGCCATGCTGGAGAGCAGCCTGCATGTGTGCTCTGTGCCAGGGCTTCCTGCAGCTCCTGGGCAGCCTTCTGCTGTCCATCCACTCAGCTTTGTCTTNCTGTGTACTCACAGGGATGGCTTTGCAAAGACAGAGCTCTGGTTTAATAAACCCAACACTCGCAGCCAGCTGTGCCTCTTCCAGCTGTGCCTCTTCCAGCTGTGCCAGCCTTCTGCTTCCCCAGGGTCATCCCAAGGACCAACCTCCCTGCCTTGGGCACTCTGGGCTGCTGTGCCCCAGCCAGGTTGCACTGGGGTGTCCCCAGGACAGCCAGACCTGCTGTTCCTGCTGAAGGGTGTCCTGAGGGGGAGTCACCTCCTGGGATGCTCAGGGACAGCGCTGGAGGCTGCCAGGCTGCAGCCACAGAGCTCTGGTCCTTCTCTTGGAGTGAGGCTGGACACGAATCCCACATTGTGATTGATTTGGGGATTTGTGGGGTGTGAGGACAAAATGAATTCCGGTGTTATCTTAGCCTTAGGCTGAAGTAGAAAATAAACATTCAGACAAATATGAATGGCAAAATAGTGTTTTATGAAAAAAAACCCGGGTTTTGGCATCTGATTTGCCTTTCTAGCTCAGTTTGGTGTGCAGAGCTGAGTGGTGGTGCTCGGGCAGAACCCTCTCAGCAGGGCGGTTCCCAGGCAGCAGGTTCTGCTTTTTTGGATGTCTGACCCAGTTCTGAGGGAGATGTTTGCCTTTGGTGTCACCCAGCCAGGTGACACAGGTGGGAGCAGAGCTCAGAAACCCAAAGTGCAGTGGCTGAGCTGGTATTTGGCAATACCCAAATCTGCACTCGAATGGTGGCAGCAGCAGCTCTGTCCCTGCTCGGGAATGCAGGGGATGCTCCAGGTAAGTTCATACCTGGGCTGCTCCATCTCTAACTGCAACCTTTCAGCTTCATTTTTAATTTTTAATTGTTCTGTGTAAAGCTGGAGCTTGACCAGAGAAAACAACAGGAAGCCAAGTTCAGATTTCCAACATTTTATTTATATACACACATCTGGTAAACAAAGTCATTAAATGTGTAACACCCTTGCAGCCTGTAATTAGAACACTCCAATAAATCACTGAAATTCCTCTTGACAATCCATTTGACTGAGTACAGATGCTGCCTGCTGCTTTTAGTTCTGCTGAGGAATTTTCCTGCCCTGAGTGAGGCAAGGAAGGGGCCCTGGCTCTGGTGCTGTGTCTCCTGTGGCTCTGGTGACATTGGGGACTCTGTGACTTGGTGCCAGGGGAGGTGCTGAGCTGTTCATCCTTCCCTTTTGCAGTTNTCCATGCCGTGCTGGCTGTGGCTGCGTGCACAGCTGCTCCCTGTGCTGCTCCATGTGCTCAGTGCCCTCTGTACCAGCAGCTCCTGTGACCTGATTACCTGTTGTTCCTGTGTGTGGTTGAGTCTCATTTCTCCCTTTTGTTTTCTCCCTTTGTCACTTGGCGTGGACACACAACTGTCAGCAGACAAAGGCGATGACAGAAATGCAGGGGAGTCTGCTGGATTCACATGAGGTACTCATCCTTTCTGTGGCACTGCTGATACCTGTGAGCATCAGCCCCTTCAGCAGGGAGCCTTTGGATATTGAAAACTCCCCAAAAGAAAGAGTTTTACTGCTCATGGAGCTTTCTGTCCATGCCTGTTGTCTCACTGTGCACCTTCCAGCACCCAGCATGGCTTTGGTCCCCTTGCTGCTCATCCTGCTGGTTTCAAACCTTACCATAAGAGCTTCTATCATGAATTTTTTGTTGCTGCTGTTTTTCCATCTCTCGTTGTCTGCTTTGGCTCTCTTGGTAGTTTGTTCTTAATTTTTGACAGCCTTCCCCAAGACTCTTTAAGGGCAGCACTGCCTTCAGGAAGTGATCAGAAATTTAATGTTTCCCCAGATTTTTCAGGATAAGCAACTTGTTCAGGATGTCTGACTTATCACCCCAGTGATGGAAGAGGCTGAGGACAATGTGCCAAGTCTTTTGTTGGAGTTTTAAATGACCTTTAATTCCTTTGGATAGAGGAATCATCAGGTTACATAGAGAATTTGCAATGGTTGGTTCAGTGGTTACACCAAAATCAAAATGATTTTTAGTAAACTAGTGATTTGTTTTTAAATAAAAACAGCATAGGGGATGGAAATGCACAAAAATACTGCACAAATCCACTGATCCCACCACTCCTTGTAATCCCAGCAAAAGGAATTACCACATGGCTAGCAGTAGTTGGAAATAGAATCTCAGTGGAAATAAAGCAGCAGGGAAGGGATATTTTGGATCAAATTGGGGATTCAGGGAGAGGACAAGGGGGAATGGCAGGGATAGATGGGATATTGGGAAGCACCCATGGAATCCCTGGCAGCAGCTTTGGCTCCAGACCTCTCCATCCCCTGGCAGCCTTGGGAAGGCTCCACAAATGGTAATTAAAGATCACAGGGCT